GACAAAGGTACCTTTGTTGGAAATATCGCCAAGGATCTAAATGTTAATGTGCAGAATCTGGAATCGCGGAGTCTTCAGATTGTAACCGGATCTACGAAGAAATATTTCGAGGTAAATTTAAGGACTGGCATCCTGTATGTTAACGAACGAATCGACAGAGAGGCCCTGTGTCCGAATTCAGTAAAATGCTCCGTGAATGTAGAGGCTATTTTAAGCAACCCTATGCAATTACATCGTATTGAAGTTAACGTTTTAGACATAAATGATAATGCACCGTTTTTCGCTGAACCGTATCATGTGTTTAACATCATGGAGTCGGCTTTTCCCGGAGAAAGATTTCCATTGCCGGTGGCCAGTGATCCTGATGTGGGCAGTAACTCGGTAAAAACGTACAAGCTGAGTTCGAATGAACACTTTACTTTAGATGTACAGAGCGGGAGAGACCAGAGTGTATCTGCTGAGTTAGTACTTCAGAAAGCATTAGACCGGGAAAAACAGGCCTCGATTCAGCTTGTACTGACTGCGATCGACGGAGGAAAACCTTCCAGATCTGGAACATCCCAAATTCTCATTCACGTAAATGACGCCAATGATAATATTCCGGTATTTAGCAAAGCTCTGTACCAAGTTAAAGTGCCTGAAAACGTGACAATAGGTACGACGATACTAACTCTTAATGCAACCGACCTGGACGAAGGAATCAATGGTGAAGTGATATATTCCTTTAGTAGTCATGGGAATTTAAATGTATTTGACTTTTTTGACATAAACTTTGAAACTGGAGAAATTAAGGTTAAGCATGTGCTTGATTTCGAAAAAAATAACGCTCATGAAATCCGTGCTCAGGCAAAAGACAAGGGGCATAATCCGCGAGCAGCTCATTGTAAAATCTTAGTTGAAGTCATAGATGTGAATGACAACTCTCCTGAAATCCAAATAACATCTCTTTTAAATACCGTAAAAGAAGACGTAGCTCGCGGGACTATTATCGCTCTAATTTCTGTTGTCGACTCAGACAGTGGCAAAAACAGCATTACAGAGTGTAAAATATCTGATGGTATTCCATTTAAGCTCAGTTCATCTTACAAGAATTATTACTCGTTAATGGTGGATGGACAGCTGGATAGAGAGATATTTTCTAAATACAACGTCACCATCACAGCTACAGATGAGGGA